TTCGGGTGCTGAGGCCGCTGCGACTGGTGTCCGGAAGAGTACCGAGTGAGTGGCCGTCGCTCGCCGCCGAGCTCCGCTCGCCGCTGACCATAGCTCGCCGCCGAGCCCCGCTCGTCGCTGAGCCCAGGTCCGCCGCTGAGCCTCTCTCGCCGCTGAACCTCGCTCACCGCTGAGCCTCGTTCGCGCTGAGCCTTGCTCGCCGCCTGAACCATTGCTCACCGCTGAGCCTCGCTCGCCGCCGAGCCCCCGCTCACCGGCCGAGCCCGCTCGCCACTGCGTCCCGCTCGCGCTCGACGGCCGCCGGTCCACCGGGACGGACCGGGACGCACGCCTCATAACGCCGCCGGCCGCTTCTTGTGACGCTGCGGCCGTCTCCCAACGCGCCAATTGACGTCGACAGTGTCGTAGAAAGTGATACTGGATCTGTTCGCGGGAGGCGGTTTCGTAACGGGGCGAGCGGGCCCTTCGGCGCGCGTCAGGGGCGCCCCCTGGCGGTCGGCGGACCTCGCCGGCGGTGCGGCCGCCTCCCCCGCGTCCCGCCCGGTCCGGCGGGCTCGGACCTGTCGGCGTGGGCCGCGCGGCGAGCCCGGCGCCATGCATTATTTGGCGCCGGCCGCGGCCGGCCGGTCACCGGCCCGGCGACTATCCGCCGGGATCGCGGCCGGCGCCGGCGTGTGGCGCCGCTCTCCGCCATCGACCCCGCCGGCCGGCGCCCGCTGTCAGCTCTGACAGGTGGGGCCGACGCGCTGTCCGGCAAGGGTCACGCGCCGCCGGCCGCGACCTCCCCCGCGGCCGGCGGTGGGCTCGCCCGCGCGGCTCTCCGTCGGTCCCCCTGACCTCCGGGAGGGGCGGGTCGCGCTGGGACGCGACGGTCGTGAATGTTTCAGCCCGGAGCGCGACAGCAATGTTACTGGCCCGTGTGAGGCGACGACGGGTCCCTTGCCGCGGCTGGCGCTGGAGTCAGGAGGGACCTGTCCGGGGCAGAGGCGCCAGTCCCATCTCGAGGGCAGAGGCGCGGTCCCTCTGGGAGACGGAGGCGCGGTCCTTCGTGGGACAGAGGTACGGTTTCTTCGTGGGACAGAGGTACGGTCCTTCCCGGTACAGAGGCGCGGCCCCTCCCGAGGACAGGGGCACGGCCCCTCTCGAAGGCAGAGGGGTGGTCCCTCTCGGGAGCGGAGACACGTTCCCTCCCGGGGCAGAGGCGCGGTCCCTCCTGGGGGACGCAGGCGTGATCCCCTCCTGGGGCCGAGGCGAGACGCCACTGAGCACCGACGGCGGCCACTGGCGTCGGGCGCTCGACGCCCGGCCGGCCGAGCCGGTGAGCCGCGCGTGTCGATCGAACGGTGCACTCCTGATCAAAGGTGCCAGCGATATCAAAGCAGGCGTCAGCTGGCTGTATGGACCGGTGTCGGCCGGCGGACGGCCGTGTTTTCGTGTGGGATTTGCGATATGTGACAAGAGAAAAGTACGCGATGGCAGTAACGAGGACGAACTGTGCATTTGTTGGCTTAGACCTTTTGTTGTAAATGAACTCTGTGTATGTGGAGTGCGGGCTCTAAGTGCGAAGAATGGCCATGCCAGACATTGCTGTGCCGTGTCGCTGTTCCGTGCTCCTTGCGCGCCTGGCGGACGCGTTGCGCGTGCCGTTGAATACCGCTCGCATCATTCACCCGTGACATTCAGCCTTCGCGCCGTGGCGGCGTCTGAGGCGGTCTGGTCCGCCCCAACTGGCCTCGTGACCTGCTCGCAGTGAGAGCCGGGCCGTGTCCCCCCCCCCCCCCCCCCCCCCCCCCCCGACCCACACCCCGGCCCCACATTGCAGGCAGCCGCCGCTGTGCCAGAGGGCCGGTGTCTGACGCGCCGGCTCTGTTCCAGGTCTGCAGGTGGTCCTCAACTCCATCCTGCGAGCCATGGTGCCTTTTGCTTCACATAGCGCTCCTTGTGATATTCGTCATCATCATCTATGCCATATCGGGCTGGAGCTGTTCAAGGGCAAGCTCCATCAGACCTGTTTTCCACAACGTGACAGGGTAAGGAGGCTCGTAATGTGTTGTTTGAGATGAAGCACGCCGTGTGCTCTTCTACACGATGGTGGGCTTATGGGGGCAGCTCTTCTACACGATGATGGGTGTGTGTGAGCCCAATATTGCCTCGGTACTTGGTGCTCCCATAAGGTCCAGTCAACACCGGCATAGCGGCAGGTCCGTAGGTGCTGCTCTCTTGCGGACACACGACGCCTGGCGTGCGTGCCCATGTTCGTCATGCGTCGAGACAGCGGGTCGTAATGCATGCAAAGTGTCGAGGAAGTGTATGTGACGCGCTGAGGTCCGATCTCCCGCATCGTGGCATTTGAGAGGTGCGCGCGAGTCGTGCGGCTGGCGCGGTCTGGAGCGGTCTGGGGTGGCGTGATCACGAGGCAGTGCCGGCCGGGGGTATCCTCCGGGCTCCGGGTTGGCCGGGGTATCCTGCGGCCTCCGGGCCGGCCCGCCGCTGGCGTGGGAAGCGCCTGGGTATCGTCGGTTTGTGACGGGCCGCGGCGCCGCTCGCGAAGGTCGCGCGGCGCCGCGGCCACGCGCGCCCGCCGGCGGGACGCAGTCGCCTGCCCTGAGGGCAGAGCGATGAGACAGCGCTGGCCTGCCAGCGGGACCTCGGCGCACACGGCTCAGCTCGCTGCTGAGAGCGTTGCGAGCGGTGGGTTCACACGGCTTTGGCGTGGACGTGGTACGGCCACCGGGCAGCTGGAGGTTGCTCCAGCTTCTCCCTCACACGGAGAGGTGATCGGCGAATGGGCGGGAATCGGGCCGGTCGAACTCGCGGCGAACTCCCCTCCGGGGGCACGTAGCGCGATGTTGTGTGAAGGAAGAAGGCCTGGGACGCTGGCTGCCATCATCCGCGGTCGCCGTTTGCTCCCGGTCAGACAGGACCGCGGGCAATCGGTCGTCCGCCGCATTCTCCGAGGTGACGGGACGCAGGGGATGGAGGGGGCGGGACACGATGGCGCGTCGGGCCGCTCTGACCGTCCGGTCTCCGCGCCCGTGGGCCGGCCGAGCGGCGCCGTTGCGCGGCCGCTGCCGACCGCTCGCCGGACAGGGGCCGGCCGAGCGCACCGCAGCCGTCCCGCCCGCGCTCCGTCTGCCGGCACCCTCGCCGCCACTGCGCTCTGCGTGCCGCCGGCCGTCGGCGCGCCCGGGCCGGCTGGTGGCTGCCTTCCGGCGCCTGACGCCCCGGGGGTCACGCGTCGGTGGCCGGCCGTCGGCAGACACCTGTCGCCGGCAGCGGCCGCCGCCGCGCCCGATTGGCCGGATTGATTCGGCGTCCGGCCGTCGCCGCCCTAATGAGCCCGCCGCTGAATGCATTCTTGTGTGGTGCGGCGTCCGCGTGAGCCTCTTCAGCGGCCACGGCGCCGGTCGCCGCCGCCGCCGCCGCAGACTCGGTGCCCTGGTGCCGTCCGTGGGCGTGTCGGCGCGACCTGCCGCGGCGGGATGCGGCGACGCTGGAGTCGCTGAGCGGCGGCAGCGCGCCACCCGTCACGTCCTCAGTTACTGCCCGGCCTGGCGCGCAACGGCTGCCGAATGTCGTCCTCGCAGGCCGCCGAATGTCGTCCTCACAGGCCTCCGAACGTCGTCCTCACAGGCCGCCGAATGTCGTCCTCACAGGCCGCCGAATGTCGTCCTCACAGACCGCCGAATGTCGTCCTCGCAGGCTGCCGAATGTCGTCCGCACAGGCTGCCGAATGTCGTCCTCACAGGCCGCCGAATGTCGTCCTCGCAGGCCGCCGAATGTTGTCCTCACAGGCCGCCGAGTGTCGTCCTCACAGGCCGCCGAATGTCGTCCTCACAGGCTGCCGAATGTCGTCTCCAGGCCGCCGAATGTCGTCTCACAGGCCGCCGAATGTCGTCCTCACAGGCCGCCGAATGTCGTCCTCACAGGCCGCCGAATGTCGTCCTCACAGGCCGCCGAATGGCGTCCTCACAGGCCTCCGAATGTCGTCCTCACAGGCGCCGAATGTCGTCCTCACAGGGCCGCGAATGTCGTCCTCACAGGCCGCGAATGTCGTCCTCACAGGCCCGAATGTCGTCCTCACAGGCCGCCGAATGTCGTCCTCACAGGCCGCCGAATGTCGTCCTCGCAGGCCGCCGAATGTCGTCCTAACAGGCGCCGAATGGCGTCCTCGCAGGCCGCCGAATGTCGTCCTCACAGGCCGCCGAATGTCGTCCTCACAGGCGCCGAATGTCGTCCTCACAGGCCGCCGAATGTCGTCCTCACAGGCCGCCGAATGTCGTCTCACAGGCCGCCGAATGTCGTCCTCACAGGTCGCGAATGTCGTCCTCACAGGCCGCCGAATGGCGTCCTCACAGGCCGCCGAATGTCGTCCTCCAGGCGCCGAATGGCGTCCTCACAGGCCGCCGAATGTCGTCTCACAGGCCGCCGAATGTCGTCCCACAGGCCCCGAATGTCGTCCTCGGCCGCGCGAATGCGTCCTCCAGGTCGCCGAATGGCGTCCTCACAGGCCGCCGAATGGCGTCCTCACAGGCGCTGTGGCGGCTATTGCCGCGCACCGTACGGCGTCGGGCTCGTCGCAGCCTCCCGAGGGAGCCGGTCGACGCTGCGGCGGCCGGCCGACGGCGCGGCGGCTGGCGCTGTGACGCCGGAGCGCGGCGGCGCCGTCGCCGCGTCCGGCCGCCGGCCCGGACGGCCCACGTTCCCAGAACGTCGGCCGTAGCGCGCAGTAGCTGCAGCGTCGCTCTCAGTCGGCGCCGCGCTGTCGTGCTCGGGCGCGGCTGGATGCCGATGGAAATTGACCGGCCGGCTTCGGGCACGGGTATTTCTGTCCCGGGCACGAGCACGCGGCCGGGTCGGTCGGTACAACCCACGCGCGCCGCGCGAGAGAATCCGGACCCGGTGGTCGCGTCTGCCGGCGCTCGGCGTCGGGCCGCGGCGCTGTGTGATGCGAGCCTTCGGGCCCAGAGCGCTGAAATAGGCCTGCTCGCCACCACCGGCGGCAGCCTACGCGGCCCGGCGGGACAGCGCGCAAGGGAAGCGACCCGCGACCCGTCTGTGACCGCGCCGTCCGGCCGCAGGTGAAATGATGGAGACGCCGCCGCCGTGCGCCATGACCGACAGCAGCGGCTACCATTGTCCTGCGTTGTACGAGTGTCGGGACGGTTGGGTCGGCCCCAACTTCGGCATCACCAACTTCGACAACTTCGGCCTGGCCATGCTGACCGTGTTCCAGTGCATCACCATGGAGGGCTGGACGGACGTCATGTATTACGTGAGTGGCGGCCCGGCCGCCGCCTGCCTCGCAGGCCCCGGCACGGAAGTGAGCGCTGTCGCGACTAACGTACAGACGCGCAGTTCGGGCGGCGCCGCAGGCCAGGGTTGCTGGTCAGTCTGCCAGGCTTGCTGGTCAGTATTTGAGCCGTTGGCATTCCAACCGTGCAGTTCGAGCCGTCTCGTGACTTGTTATGTTGTGATGCGTGCGATATTGCCTTCGTCGCTCAATCATGTACCGTGTTTTGCCGAGCATGGATGACAAATTCGTCTGAATACGAAAGCGTGCGTTGTTTTTATCACGACTCCGACCGAAGTGTCCTGTCTGACCGTGCTGGAGGCTGTGAGGCTGACCGGCTGTGACACTATATGCACCATGTAAACACTAGCTCGCTCTCAGCCCCGCTGCTGCCCAGCGTCCCTGGCCGGCCAGTCGTGCGCCGCTGGAGCCTGGCTGGCCCCGCTAACGCCGCGTTGACAGGGGACTGGCGGCGGGCGTAGCGGCGTTTGTTGCGACGGGTGACGGGATGGGCCGGGAGGCCGGACGCCGGGCCGACGGCGGCGGGCCGAGCGGCTCACCCCCATCCGGCGACTCGCCCTCCCCCCGCCCCGCCCCCGCCACCCTCGCCCCCCGCGCCGGCCGCGACGCCCGGCCAGCGTCCCCAGACACGAGACCGTGCGGAGTGCGTGGCGCTCAGCTGTTCACGTCACAGCGGGGGCGGGGCTGAGTCAGCTGAGGAGGGTCAGAGTCCGGACCTGGCGTGGGATGCCCCGGGGCCCGAGTCACGGGCGGGGTATGCGACCCGCCGGGGTCGGCTGACGGAGCGCCGGCCCGGCGAGGGTGCGCCGCCCGGCCCGGCCGCCGCCGACCGCCGCCTCTGTAACACTGTCTCTGCCTCGTCCGCTTTAGATGAATGACGCGCTCGGCAGCAGCTGGCCGTGGATCTATTTCTTGACCCTCATCATCCTGGGCTCCTTCTTTGTGCTTAACCTCGTCCTTGGTGTGCTAAGCGGGTAAGTTCGGCGCGGCGTGTGCGGGGCCCGGCGCGGCGCCCGCGCCTACCCGTGTGCGCGTGTGGTGTTCATTTTGAGGTGCACCTCCGCTTCCAGCCGTCCCTGCCGCACCCGCGCCCCCAAGCTGGCTTTCTGTGTACCCCGTGGCGGGTGTGTGCTGGGGAGGGTCGGCGCGCGGCGCGCGGCGCCCTCTTGTGGTGACGGGCGTCGGGCAGGGCTGGCGGCCGCCGGCTGCATCGTCCTGCGGAGTTGAGTGGGGTGGTCAGCGACTCCAGTAAAGGTGCGGAAGAAGCGCCGACTCGCGGGCTGGGGCGACCCGCCTGCTGGGCGCCCGCACTCCCCATCCCCTCCCACTCCATGCCCCGGGAGTGCAGGGCTCGCGCTTGGACTCGGAAGGGGGGTGGAGTTCACTCAGAGTCGGGGGTCGATCTCCCCGTCTCATTGGTCAGGCAGGGTCTCAAAGCGGATGGATACGCCCAGTCCCAGAGAGCGGGAGAGCCAGCCTCCCCGTTCTATCTGTCCCGCTTGACCCAAAGGACAGGAGTGCGGCCAGTCTCAAGGGTGAAGGGAAAGGGGGAGGAGGAGAAGCCAGCTCGCAGTCCCTTGAGTCACGCTCAGCCCGGGAGGGTGGCCCGTCCTCGGTCGGCGGCGCCGGCACGCCCCCGATCCTGCCTCTGCCCGCCCGCCTCCTGATGTGCCGTTGTCGGGTGCCGCCGGCCGGCGCAGGTCGGCCGGCGCCGGTGCCGGTGCCGGTGGTGGGCGTGTGTGCGGGACACGGGCGGCGCCTGCCGGCGGCGGCGACGGCGGCCGCCCGGCCGGCCGGTCGGCCGGCTCGCGCCCACATTGTAGGCCGCATGTGTCACCCACTCCACACGACAGCTCGAGACGAGGCCACTCTCTGGATGGCGTGCCCTGCATGGTGTGGCCGGCCGGCGGTGCTCCGGCGTCGCCGGCCATCGCTGACGTTTTGTTTCTCCCGCACCCCAGATTCAGGACGCTTCCGGACAGTCGTGGCCGTGGATCTATTTCATATCAATGATGATCGTCGGCGCGTTCTTTGTAATGAACCTTATTCTGGGCGTGTTGAGCGGGTGAGTTCAGCGGCCCCGGCCGAGACGCTGTCTCTGTCACTGTCACGCCGCACGCGCTGCGGACGTGCACGTGCACGTGCCGCACGTGCCACGCGCCCGCGCGCGCGCCGGCCGCCACAACTGTCACCGACGGGCCGCGCTGCGGTGCCGCCGTTTTGTTTCGTCACTGTAGTGATGTTTTGAGATCGGATTAACAGGCAGCTCAAACTCGTTGAAACTGGCTCGTTCGTTTCGTCTCGCCCGCTACGCTTTGTGGCACGGCTGGGAAATCGGTGGTCCTTTTCAAGTGCGCTGACTTGGGTGGTCACTGGCACCTTTTGAAATGTTCGCTGGCAACGTTGCTGCACCTTTTGGCACTTTCGACGTTTCCTGCGATGCATCATTAAAAGGTGGCGATTTGTTGATTGCTGGTGACGACGGAAACGAAATTGCCAGTGCGCCGTATTTACGGAATGGTCTTGGGTGCTCATTTTGTAGTCAGTTCGCCGTTAACATTATTGCATTTTTGCTGTCAGGACAGCCATTCGTAAGTTTAGTGGGTGTTCGGTTTTTGTTTGCGGGACGTTTTGGTTGACCTGTCTGGTCGGCCGGTGTGGTTGTGCTGGTAGACTGGTAGCATAGGTGGTACGTAACCACCCAGGCCCGGATCGCATGGTTCAGTTGGTTTCACACGAGCATGCCTTGTGCCCGCCCCTGCATTTTGACCCGCCGTTAGACCACCCTTGACCCGCACAAACGCTGCTTTGTCCGTATGTCGTTTGGGAGGTCTGCTGTAGGTATTTTGCGAACCGTTTGATCACGCCTTGCCCTAGTACTGAGTCATGTGTCGGCACTGTCGGCGCGCTACTCGCCGTCACTCATGTTATCCGCACCCCGCGCTGTTCGCGAGAGTCGGAATGCCGCCCGAGTCGGCGACGCGTAACGCTCGCAGTTGGTCTTGAAGGAGCGGTGGGGCCGCCCTCAGCGGCCGCCGCCTGCCAGTGTCGGTCCTCCTGGCGCCCCGCGGCGCGCCGCCGCCATCCCGGCTGACCGGTCCGGGCGCCGGCAGAGAGTTCTCCAAGGAGCGCGAGAAGGCCAAGGCGCGCGGAGACTTCCAGAAGCTGCGCGAGAAGCAGCAGCTGGAGGAGGACCTGCGCGGCTACCTGGACTGGATCACGCAGGCCGAGTACCTCGAGCCGGAAGACGAGGCGCAGGGCGATGAGACCAAGCTGCGTGAGTGCACCGCGCTGGCGCGTGAGCAGATTGTCGGGCGCGCGACGCCGAGCCGCGCGGCCGTGTCACGCTGCCCCGCCGAGGCCGCCGATCGGGAGCGGCACTAACCGCCTGTGTGCGATACGGAGTCAGAGTGAGCAGCTGCGGTGTAGACCCGACCGTCCTGTGCGTGGGTGTGCTGACCCGGCGCCGAGGGTGGTCCTCTGACCTGACCCCGTGGGGTCCGCCGGTGTCCGCCAGACGACAATGTGGAGGAGGACGACCCGCAGGCGGAGGACGGCGACCCCGTCGACAGCCGGCAGCTCTCCTGCTGGGCCAAGAAGCGCAAGGGCTTTGAGAAGTGAGTGGCGAGCGTGACTGGCTGGAGGCACCGGCGGGGCGCGGGGCCCGCCGACCGCGCCGGTCGTCAGCCGCCAGCCGAGCCTCGCTGTGGCTCTTGTCTCGTCAGGTCGGCCCGGGCGGGGCGGCTGGCCGCTCGGTGGTCTAGCTCGTGACCTGTAACGTAGCTCCGGGATTGGCACTTACGGTGGCGGCTGATTTCTGGTGCAGCTCCCAAGATCGGCCATGTTCCTGATTTGTACTGTATCTCCTGATATTCCTCGACGCCTGGCCGGCAGCGTGACGTCTTGGTTTATTCCTTTGCGCGAGGCCTGTACAGTGATTCGTTATGGTTGTCGTAGCGCCGCGCCTACACGCAAGTCGTGACGGTGGCTCCTGGCCCGTAGCGTAACCCGCGATCCGTGCTGTGGCCCCGATCCGTAACTCGGGTTTTACGCCGGGATTCCCGACTGGTAACACGTGCTGTCCACCGTGAGCCCATGCCTGTAGTGTAGCATCCTGTCTCGCGGCACCCGTGATCTGTAACACGGCCTGCGGTCCGTACGGTGACGCCCGACCTCCGTCGTGACCGGCGCCGTCCGACCGTGGCCGTGACCGTGACCGTGACCGTGACCGTGACCGTGACCGTGACCGTGACCGTGACCTGTCGCCGCCCTCGCGTCAGGTGGAACCGCCGGATGAAGCGGTCCTTCCGCACGGCCGTCAAGTCGCAGTCCTTCTACTGGCTCATCATTCTGCTGGTGTTCCTGAACACGGGCGTGCTGGCCACCGAACACTACAATCAGCCCAAGTGGCTGGACAAGTTCCAGGGTTAGTGTGTGCTCGGGGCTGCCGCTTGCCGGGGACTGTCCGCGGGGTGGCGCGGGACCCTGGGTCGCGTCTGGGCCCGCTGCCGACCCAGACGCGAGTCCCAGGGTTGGTGGGCACGGGACCGCGCTGCACCGCGGCCGGGCTCGGGTCGGTGCGGCACCCGCTGTCGCTCCTTGTCGGGTGTGGAGAGAATCTGGAGTGTGCGTGTGTGTTGGTGTGCACGCACCGGTGTATGTGTGTCACACGGCCCGGCGAACGGCGGCCATGCGTCCCCAGTCCGTGGTGATAGCGTGCTGGGACTCGGGTGGGACCGGGCCTGGTGGTGGCCGTCGCAGTGGGACCGGGGCTGACGGCGGCGTGGGACCAGGGTCTGCGTCTGTGCTGGCGTTTGCGGCCTGTCTGTGTGTGCCTGGTGAGGCGTTAGCCACCGCACTGACGGGTCTCGGTGCCAGCTGAAGTCGGATGCTGGGCAGGCTGCACCCGGGCCATCTCAGGGCTGGATAGAACTAGAGAAATGATTCATTTCCGAGTAGACACTCCTCGATATTCTCAGCGTCATTGACGCAGGCCATCCGCGCATTGCGCTAAGGTGACGTAAGGCAATCAACTTGTTTTCCACTTGGTTGTTAGCATGCACACAAATGGGCCCTAACGCTGAATTGTGTACACCTTTAGACCATATGTTTAACTTGTTTGCGATATGATGATACGTTCAACTAAACCAAGATACATTCACCCTAAAGCGCATACTTCTACCCAGTACTACCTAAAACCACGTAAGGTAGAACCTCACGTAATGTTCGACATGCCGTAGCGCAAAAAAACGCCGTACGTCGTAGGCGTTACGTGACCTCCGCCCAAGAATCGCATCTGATGTGACGCAAGGTGCAAAGATGCATGTGGCTAGCTCCAGCTGTACCACAGCTACACCGAAAGCTGTCGTTGGACGGATACACGCCTGGCCGAGTCAGCACGACTGCTTACGTAACGGCCATCAAATAGATTGACGCTGCCGTCCTGAGACTCGTCACAGTCCGGCGGACTGAGCTCCCCGCGTGGCGCGCTGTTGGCGAAGGAAAGCGATCATGTACTTCGCCAATCACGTTAGGAATACCGGACATGCCGGTTGCGGCCGATGGCAGGGTCGCATGTCGTGCGCCGGTGCGGTGCGGCAGGTCGCTGTCGGGCGTAACGGCCGGATGTGAGTGACACGTGCTGCCGTAACAGCCAGTTGGGGGGGGGGGGTGAGTGAGAGGTGGGGGGGGGGGGGGGGGAGGGTGAGTGTACGTGCTCCCACAGACGGCGCATCATAACCATTGGGAAACGGTTGGCGACTGCCATGGTGGATCAACGTTTGGTGTGTGTGTGTGTGTGTGTGTGTGTGTGTGTGTGTGTGTGTGTGTGTGTGTGTGTGTGTGTGTGTGTGTGTGTATGTGTATGTGCATGTGCATGTGTATGTGTATGTGTATGTGGGTGTGAAGGGGGGGCGGTACGAGTGTGCGACTGGGTGGGTGGGTGTGAATTTCGTCTGCGATGCACGGTCATGTAAGCAGGTGGTGCCTCGTGTTGTTTTTGCACCATCCAGGGCCAGTCTGTCGCTCATGGCCAGTTACCACTTTCTGCGCTATGTACAAATATGTGTTCTGGGCTATCGTGACATCCGCTGGCTTCTTGTCCTGAGGCAAACATTTCGTCAAGCACTTGTTAGGCCCGGCCCCAGCGATTCCTGGCCCTAATTTTTGTGTCTGTCTTTTCAGAGATAACCAACCTGTTTTTCATCGTGCTTTTTACAATTGAGATGCTCATCAAAATGTACGCTCTCGGATTCCAGGTAAGTGGAAGACACGTCTTTCATTATCGTTGCGTCTGAAGAGAAATTCCGAAATAAGAATGCAACAGCGATTCCAGTTACGGAAATGCAAATATGGAATCGGTTGATACATCACGCATTAGTCTGATAATTTGACGGACGTCTGCGGTTTCCTGTTGCAGAGCTATTTCGTGTCGCTGTTCAACCGCTTCGACTGTTTCGTGGTGATCAGCAGCATCATGGAGGTGCTGCTGACAAAGACTGGCGTCATGCCACCTCTGGGCGTGTCCGTGCTCCGCTGCGTCCGCCTCTTGCGCGTGTTCAAGGTCACCAGGTCAGTCTGATGCGCTTGGAGGTCACGGAAGACGTCCGGGCGCGCGGGTCGGGGCACCCAAAGAGCCGCTCACTTGTGTCATCGGCCGCCGGGGCACAAAAGGACATTGACCTGAATCCACCCCAAACGAAAGATTTTGTTAACAACAGCTGAAGCCCCCCCCCCCTCTCCCAAAGAAAGAAACAGAACATTCTGTCACTTGGGGCAGTGCAGCGCTTCAGTGTAACTTGTAGCGAGCGACGGCCGGAAAGGCGTCGTGGAGAGTGGGCCTTTGCTGCGTTGGCGCTGTCTCGCCCCTCCCTTCTCGGCGCCGGCGGCAGCGTCTCGAGCGGCGTCCGCCTCCAGCCCGGCGCCGTCCCCGGCCGGGCTGCCGTCCGGCTCCAGCCGGGCTCCAGCCAGTCTGGCCCCGGCCCCGGCCCGGCTGCAGCTGACCTCTGTCCGCCGCCGGCGCCACCAGAGGTCGCCTGTCAGGTGGCGGCCGGGCCGGAAATTTGCGGCCTCGGTAAGCCGGCCAGGCTGATTGCAGATTGAGGCCGGCACGCCGGGCGCCGCCGCCTCGGCTGCCGTTAAAGGCCGCCGTACGCGGAAGACGCGGCGCAGTGTTGGGCTTTATTCCTCTGGAGAGGGCCGCGCGCGCCCCGCCGCCGCTCGGTGGGGAAATCCCAGCCGCCGAGATTGATTGCGACGCGCCGCGCGCGCACATGGTCACGTGCTCAGGGAGCGGGCGGGGCGCGTGGAGCCCGGCTGGAGCGGCGTGTGTCGTCGTACAGGCCGGGGGGAGGGTAATCGGCGTTGTCGGGCGTGTGTGGGTGGACGAGGTCCTTGACATTTGGAGCGCTGCCAGGACTGTATAGAGGAGCTGAGCTGTTGAGCTGTTTGTGGTGTGTTCTGGTGTAACCTTCTCGTAAATGGACGTACGTAGCTCTGCAAAGGTCTATCGAAGTTCGTCAGTTACATAGTCGACTGTATGGTCATTTGCTAGTGTAATGTGCACGCCTGCAGTAGACGCCAGCTTCCTCAGACGGTGCTTAACCAGCATGCAGTGTCTTCATGATCCTCTACATGTATTTCGTTACATTTTGATCAGTTATAACTGTCCGTATTTTTTGTTGCTGAGAGTTTTCTTTCGTTTTCTGGTTTCGCTATGCTAACAACAGCTGGTGTACCGTCTGTGTGCTTGCCGGTTCATTTTTAGTTTTTCTTTTGCAGATATTGGCGGAACATGGGGAACCTGATCAGGGCCCTGGTCAACTCCATCCAGTCCATCATATCCTTACTGTTCCTCCTCTTTCTCTTCATATTCATCTTCTCCCTTCTCGGGATGCAGATATTCGGAGGAAAACTGAGCGGACTCCGAAGTAACTTCGACACATTTTGGCAGTCGATCATGACGGTATTCCAGGTACATATACACGTCTGTGCGGCGCTCAGGCCGGTGCACAGCCACCTTTGTGCAGCGACACACACACCTGTGACACACCTCTGACGCACGCTGGCCCTGCGCGCGGGTCGGCTCGGGGTTGCAGCAGGCTGCTCCGGAGGGTGCCGCTGCGGCTCGGCGGCAGCGGGTGGCGCGCCGGCTGTGCGCTGCGAACGGCCATGGATGGCACCGGCGGGTGCCGCTGTCGCCGCCAGCCGCTGGTGGACAGCTGCAGCGGCTTGTGGCGCCTGGCTTTCGGCGGCACTGCACAGCACTTATTCTTTCACGTCCCCACCGCCTGTTTATCCTAGTTCCCCGTTGATCTGCATACCTTACTATTTTCTTCCGTTTTTGCCACCTCGCCGCCGTCCGTGCATCCTGAGCATCTCCTGTTTATCTGTATATCTAACTGTTTTTCTGCTGCCTCTCCGGCTTTCTCTGCGTTCATATGCCGTTCTCAGTCACGCTCCCTCTCCCTCCGAAGTCTCATATCCGTTCTCGGACACGCCGGTGCCTGTCCCCATTTGTCCGCCTGGGTCCTGCCCCCTCCAGCTCGGCTAGCGTCGCTGCTGCGGCTGGCTCGTGGCCGTTCTCGCCGCCCGCTCTGTCCGTCGGGCGTGCCTGTCCCGCTCGGGATCCGCTTCGCCCTGTGTTAGCGCTCTGCATGCTTGCCTACGCGCGCGGGTCGGGCGGCCGCGCGCCGCGCCGCCGGCCCGGGGCAGAGCCGGTGGCTGCACGGTGAGTCCGGCGGCGGCGGCCGGCGCCGCCTGACGCACGTCTGCCCCCGTGTTTCAGGTACTGGAGATCGCTCTCCAACCTGGTGGCCTCGCTCCTCAACTCAATCCAGTCGATCGCCTCCCTGCTCCTGCTCCTCTTCCTCTTTATCGTCATCTTCGCCCTGCTCGGTATGCAAGTTTTCGGCGGCAAGTTTAATTTTGACTCGACGACGGCCAAGCCGCGCAGCAACTTCGATACTTTTGTGCAGAGTTTGTTGACCGTGTTCCAGGTATGGGGCTGGCCGGACTGGGCCCGGGCCTGCCGACTGCTGTGGCGGACTCGGCGCCGCGGGCTGCCGATCATGCTGTCTGACCGTGACTCGAAGAGTCGGCGGAGCGCGAACCTTTACGACATTGCGCGGCGTCTGTTGGTAGTTAATACTTGCGCGGAAATTTGTGCGTCACAACTTCTAGTCCTCCAGTGACACTATTTTATAGTTGTTCGTTTGTGTATTGCGGCCCATAAGAGAGAAAACGTGCTAAAAGTGACGCGCATCGAACCATTCGCCGCGGGAGGGCAATGTCGACGGGTCGGCTGGAGCAGCCCGCGCCGAGTCGCCGCGCGCCGCGCTGAGGCCGGCCCGGGCCGGTCGTCGTCTGGATGTTAGGTGCGGTACTCGGCGTGTTTAGTTCCAACTAACTGGTGGTGCATGCTGCCCGGCGGCCGCTCCGCCGCGCCCTCCGTCTTTTGTTTCGTTCGCGACTGCGGCCGGGAAGGTGAGTCGGGGCAGCCGGGACGTCCCCGCGGCGTTACAGCTCGCTCCTCGTCGCCCACATTCGGAGACGACGGCTGGGGTCGGCTCGGACCGGAAGAAAGATGGCGGCGCGCATCGGGCGCCGCCATGTTGGCGTCGACTGCCTGCCTGCTTGTTTTTGCTGTCCGTGCTTGGCCCTGATGTGGTGCCTGGGCGTCCCGCCGCTGGCGGCGGACGTGGTGAAGACGGTTTTGATCCGGTTCCGGCGTCTAGACGGCCGGTGCATGCGCGGCAGCTAGCTGAAGGTCCCCTGACTCGGGCCTCTCCGTCCAGGCAGGTGCAGGCAGCTTTGCGTGGTGTGCACTTTTGTCCGTGGCGACCACCCGGGCGGCGTGGACCGCTCTCGGGAGCTTTGTGTGTTGTTGTTTTCTGTGTTTGATGTTGGTTCGTGGTGTGAATGCTAGCGAACGGATAACGCTGGGACACTCACTGACACATGCCACACGCATAAAACTGTTGTTCGCGGATGTGTAACGTAAGATCGAGCGTGTTTCCCTCCATTGCGCTTGGTCACGATATTCTAGAAATGGGCACAAAGTGTCGCTTGCTGTCATCGGGAGTAAACCTTCCGTCAGTGATGCGTTGCCGAGCTCCCAACTTTGCATCTCCTTTCATGAGAATAACAACCTTGTGCCCCTAGTCCACAACTGTTCACCAGTCCGGCCGGGACCAGGGGGATTCCATGGGGCTGATGCGCTCAAGCGCCTTACCGTGCACCGCTTTCAGATTCTGACCGGTGAGGACTGGACGTGGTGATGTACCATGGCATCGAGGCTTACGGCGGCGTGGGTGGCTTCGGCGCCCTGGCTTGCTCGTACTTCATCATCCTCTTTATCTGCGGCAACTGTATCCTTTCTGTGGCCATGGGCAGAATGGGTCGGTGGTGTGAAGCACATCTAAATCAGCTCGCCGGTTGGGACTGGCGGCGTGAACAGTCAGTAGATGGATGGTGAGATGTTCTGACCACCAACCGTCCGCGGACTCTGGCGCGCGTCTCAGCGCGTGGCAGCTGTTGGACGGGCCGCCACCGTTCGCCGGCCATCCACGCGTCCCGCGCCGGCCTCCCAGTCGGCCGTGGCCGAGTGCTGTCTCGTATGCCCCTTAACTCGACGCCTGCAGATATTCTGCTCAACGTTTTCCTGGCCATCGCCGTCGACAACCTGGCCGACGCCGAGTCTCTGACGGCGATAGAGAAGGAGGAGGAGGAGGAGGTGAGCGCCGCCGACCGCGCGCCCGCCCGGGCTGTGGCAGCTCAGGCGACGCCGGCCGGTTACGGCTGTGGCGCGCGGCTGTTGCGAGTGTGAGGCGTGTGTGGGCTGGTTCCGTCTGATGTTTCGCCGCGTGGAACGTAGCAACGAAAGGGAACAGTGCGCAGCGCGCGGCGCGGCGCTCACACGAAGTGCAGCACAGCGCGACAGCTCTCTCGTTGCGCCAACGCGCTGCGCGCAGAGCGCGTGCAGTCGCCTTGCGCCACCGCACGGCCCGTCACGTGGGCTGTTGCATCTGTGTGCGCCTTTCTGCCCGCCGGTGGGCTGTCCTGGTCTGATGGTGATGTTGATTCGCAGGGCTATCAGTACCAAGACGAGTTTGTAAGTGGCCCGTCACCCCCTTTCGTGCCGCCCGGTGCATGCTGCCCCCGCACCCGTTCAGGCTTTCAGTTCGGGGCGCTCGCTCACAGCCGGCTGCCGCCGCATGCCATCGCGTGACGCACCGTGGCGGGGAGGAGACGCACCGTGTGATGGCGCCAGCGCGCGTGACTGCTCACCTGTGATGGCGCCAGCGCGCGTGACTGCTCACCTGTGATGGCGCCAGCGCGCGTGACTGCTCACCTGTGATGGCGCCAGCGCGCGTGACCGCTCACCTGTGATGGCGCCAGCGCGCGTGACCGCTCACCGTGTGATGGCGCCAGCGCGCGTGACTGCTCACCTGTGATGGCGCCAGCGCGTGACCGCTCACCGTGTGATGGCGCCAGCGCGCGTGACTGCTCACCTGTGATGGCGGCAGCGCGCGTGACTGCTCACCTGTGATGGCGGCAGCGCACGAGACGACGCACTGTGTGATGACACCGGTGCACGAGATGACGCACCGTGTGATGACACCGGTGCACGAGATGACGCACCGTGTGATGACGCCAGTGCGTAAGATGACGCACCTCTCGGCGGTCGTCATCTGATGCGTTGCGAAGACGGCCGCTCCCGCGTTCGCCTCTATAACACCACGCTTCGCACTCCTGCCGGGCCCGCCCTCAGCGGCGCCGTTAGAAGCTGCGCCTGCTGCGGTCGCCGACAGACGTCGTGACCTGTGGCCTGTTCCGCAGAAGGCGCGCTCGCGGTCGCGCAGCGGCTCCCCTCGGAAAGACGGCGACCGGCTGGACGAACCGGCCGTGGAGCAGGACCACTCGCAGTATGGCTCCCAGAAGCTGGCGGAGCTCAACCATGTGGGGTCAGTGGGCCGCCCGCACGACGGGCTCGGGGCACAACTTTGGAACTGGTTAAATGGCAGGAGCGGACGGTGGTGAGGGCGTCGTGCTGATATTTTACTGTTCGTGGAGCATTTAGAAACATTAGCTGATATTGGTATCTAAGGTGGAACTTTCCCAATCTTCTGGCGGCCTCTACCCATGGCGTCGCTCGTGTCTGTCAAGGGTGCCGGCTTAATGTCGTGGTGTAGTAATGCAAGCTGTGTTCCCACAGTGTCGATAGAGTGGGAAGTCAAACCAGCGTCGAGATGGGAGAGGAAGAGATGGAAGACGAAGGCTACGACAATTACGACGAAGATGGTATGCCTTCG